GCCCACTCCGAGAGGTCTCTGCTCAGCCGGGATACCTAGACCGAGAAGTCCATTGAGCATTCCACTACGATCTACACCACTCTTCACTTCTCTGTTATCTAGAAGCAGGACGATCTCATAATCACTACTTTTGATGATCTTTGGCACGAAATTATCGAATACGACGGGATCAGTCGAGGCATACGGATCCTCAATGTCAATCTCCATGCGGGGAATAGGTTGAGACATGCGAGGACGATTACGCTTATTCTGAGTACCTTTAGGAACGGATTCAGTGCGTTGCAAGGGAATTTGACTAGACGAAGCTATTGGTTGCGTGGACTGTGTCCGCTGAGAAATAGATGGAGGAGGAGGAGGTAGCATCGAGTTCGGCATCGGTTGAGAACGCTGAATCACTCCTCCCGCCGGTACACCTTGACTGGATAGTGCTGACCCAGAGGACGATCGCTGAAGAACAGACGGAGGAGGCAACATCGAGTTAGGCATCGTCTGAGAACGCTGAATCACTCCTCTCGCAGGTCCACCCTGGCCAGACACTACTGACCCAGAGGACGATACAGTCCAAGTACCAGCATAAGAGACTTGCCGCGACGGATCCAGACCCCCGCTTTTCTGCTTCTTCCTCATCTTATCATTCTCTTCCGCAAGCAGATCAGAGGTCGTCGCAGCACGTTTGATCCCCACAGGTTTCTCTACGGTGGCAGTCGTGGCATTCACACTTTGACTCGTCCAGGTAAGCGGCAAAGTCGACGACGGATAATACACATCAGCGATGTCCATGGGGAGGTACCCAACCATGCGATTTGGTCGCGGACCCGAAGCGTCGAGTACTTTGAGGATCGGGTGTTGACAAGAGCGCGGGTATTCAATCAGGAGCCCTGGGCCCGAAGGCAAATCTATCTCGACATGAGCTTGTGCTCTTTCTCTCACCCTAGTTTCGTTATCGTCTGATGCGTCTGTTAGAACTTGAAAACCAGTCGAGATGAGTGAAAGCACCCACTATCGAGGGTTAGATAACAAAATTGAAAGGTATCGCTGTTATGATCGTCAAGAGCTGCTGGCTGGCTCGCTGGAGCGTGAGTCGGAGCTGGCCGTGGGGCAGGTGCCACTGAAGGAGGAATACTCGCGGTTGACGAAGATTTCCTGGGACGATCGACGCTACTCTTCGATGTTCCTGCAGATTTTCGTTGGGCGGATCCCGAAGAGCTCGAGCCCGTAGCCCCAGATCCTCCGCCTGTCCTTTTCTTGAGCTCTCCTACAATTTTGGGTCCGATACTAACGAGTTTCTGAGCATCATCTGCAGTGGCGAGAACTTCAGGATGAGCCTTCAAGCTCCGGGCAGCCTTGTTGTAGGCCATATACCGGGGAGTATCTAACAGTAACAGTGAGCAAAGATTATTCATCGGTCAGTGAAATGAGAAAAAACCTATTTCTTCGGCGTCGCGTAGCTCTATAAGGATTTTGTAGAAGATGGGATTTGCGCAACTGGGACGTTTGGGAGGCATCAGAGAACGCGTTTCTCTGTCTCTGGCCGTCTCTATTGATGAGGATGTGCAGTGGAAAACGGATAAATAAGTTTTCGCAAACAGCGAGGAGGTGGTTGAAGACAAAAGCTCGCGTTCGCTTTGAACAAGTCAGTGTCACACATAGTGACTGGTCACGCGATATAACATTGTCAGAGATCGAGTCATCGACGTAGATCGACGGGTCCGACTGCCCCCGACTACCCCAGCAACTTCCAAAGAGTCGTTTGCCGTGACAATAGGATAGTTGAAGATTATGCGCATTGAGAGTTTGAAACATACGGGTATACTACAAGTCCTCTCAGTCCTTTAGCTTTAGGGCCTAGGCAAAGAAGACAACCAACCTGCCCCAGTTCGAATATCATTTGGTGATTTCGGATAGGTGGTTCACAGAAGGTTTATATGATATGGTAATAGTATATCCCAGGCTCATGATAACCGTCTTCTGGAATAGCTGACTCGTCTGTTAGCTTCGAGGCTGATCCGGCTATACGCTCCCGTGTCGGTAGTTCAAACATCCTGATCTCCTTCCTATGCTCTCAAGATCTAATTTTCTCCCTCCCAAGAATATAACAAGTTTTCGCTACATATTCATCGATACCAAACGCGCCCGTGGCCGACTTCATAGTGATGCGATTAAAGATAGTAGTGCAAGCAGAGATCCGATATTGACACAGCGTAGGCGTAAGATAGCGAAAATACAAATGAGATACAAGTGTGCAATTAGATGTCGAAATCGTCGTCAAAGTCCTTTCTACGTTGAAACTGCGGTGGAGTGAGGGGTTAATACATAGCGTCGGTGCCGGTGAGCAGGAAGTCACGAACCACAATGGTCGATTTCTTAGACGAGGTTTGTCCTTGGCTGTTCTCCATCTGTAGATAGAATATGTATATGAGAGTTTGAAAGGAACGAATAGAGCCAGATACGTACCTGATCCAGCAACTCAATCAACTGATTCTCCGATACCCTCCCCTTCAACTGGCCCCCCTGCGCCATCCTCACCAGAATCATCTCTATCTGCCTCGATCTCTCCGGACTAACAAGCGATATCCGGGATACTTCCATGGAGAGTCTTAGAGGAGATATATTTATTTCAGAATCAAAAGAACATACATCGTTCACGAGCACCATTGTCAAGGACCGTAGCTATCATTTCTCTGCGCATCTGCTCTTCCTGCGCGCGCTTTGCGGCTTCATCTTCTGCTTTTTGTCCGCCCTGGGCGTTGTCTGGTATCTGGCTGAGGTCCATTGTGGCGAGAAAGGTGAATGAGTGCAAACAATGACAAGCAGGTGTGCGGGCCGGATAGCCGGGCTGTCCCCGTTCCCGCTTTGACTGGTTCTGTCTTTTGTCCGCTTTGACATTTGGCTCGCGTTCGCTTTGTCCTCTTTGTCCGCTTTGAGTAGTTGAGTAGTTGACCTTTTGTCCGTGTTTCCGCATCGTGCATTGTTCAGGCCCAGGTACTGCTTGTGGCTACGCCTGGACTGTGTACGGAATACTGTTAATCCATGTGCATGCATCCTCGGACATGAAAGCCGTTTTGTCAGAGATTCGTGTCCAGAATTGGGATCCTTTCAGACATTGTGTTGTTCATTGTACAAGAACCGGTGTTTATTGTATTTTTGAAGACAAGAAGAAATGAACAGGAATAGAATCCCAAAAAGGAAATTGTATACAACCATTGTTCTTTCATTGTTCTTCCAGTTGTTATAAAAAGGCCCTGCATCTACGATGAGCTGCTCACCTTTTCTTCCCGTCACTTTCTTTCACGACTTGCAATTTGACTAACATGTTCTCGTTCCAAACTTCTGCTTTTGCTGCCCTAGTTGGCCTTTCTCTTGTTGCCATTCCACCTGTTGTCCGCTCTGCCATTATCGATGTAACCGTCGGAGGCACAAATGGAACCGTTGCTTATTCGCCTAATAACGTGGTATGTACTCTTGTGGTTTTGTAGTTTATTTTACTCACTGGGTTTTAGAACGCAAGTGTCGGAGACATCGTCCGATTCACCTTTCAGCAAAAAAACCATACTGTAACTCAGTCGTCCTTTGCTTCACCTTGCTCTCCTCTTGCAGACGGTTTCGATTCTGGATTGTACGTCTCTTGCCTCTTGGTTCTCTCTGTCGCCCTAACAGATCCCTCCAGCGTTCCTGTCGACGCCAATACAACTAGCGGCTTCCTCAGCGCCGAGCTCACCGTCGGAAACACAAATGTAAGCGCCTTTCATTGTCGTACTTCCCTTGCTTATCCTCCTCGTTAGCCTGTTTGGATCTATTGCCGTCAAACCGGCCACTGCGAAGAAGGCATGGTCTTCGCCATCAACCCAGGCTCCGACGCCAAATTCGCCGAGTTCCAAGCTGCCGCCATGGGTGCCAACTCCACGTCCACCTCTTCCGCCTCCGTCGTCACCGTCACTGCAACCGTCACTGTCTCCGGCGACGCGACTATCACCACCACCTACGCGTCGTACCCTGGCTCCGCTGCCCCAACCGCCGCCATGTCCACTGACCACTTCATCATCGTCGGCAACAACGGCACCCTCACTTACACCCCCGCCAATATCACTGCCCAAGTCGGAGACACTGTCACTTTCCAGTTCCACCAGAAGAACCATACCGTCACTCAGAGTTCCTTTGCTAATGTACGTTTTCTTTTATCGTATCTGACTTCGCCCAGCTAATCGATTGTTCTTCTCCCAGCCCTGCACACCTCTCTCCGTCAGTTCCCCCGGAACCGCTAGCTTCAACTCTGGCTTCATGCCCGTCGCCGCTAACGCTTCCACTTTCCCTACAGTGACCATCCAAATCAATGACGTAAGCTCCCTCTCCCATCCCCTCCATAATCCCTATTCTAACTCCCCCTCCTTAGACAACCCCCTTCTGGGCCTACTGCGCACAAACCTCCCCCGTCTCCCACTGCGAGAGCGGCATGGTCTTCAGCGTCAACGCCGTCGAGACCAGCCCCAACTCCTTCGAGGCCTTCCAAGCAAAAGCACTCGCCCTCAACGCCTCCGCTTCCAGCTCCGGCGCTGCTTCCCTCTCGTCCCCCGCTGCCGCCAGCGGTGCATCCCCGATACATATACACGCGGTTCGCGATGCTGGCATCGCAATCGCTGTTGTTGGCGTTGTTATGGGTGTTTTCCTTTAACGGATTCTTTCCTCTCTCCGTTATGATCACGACTTGGGACTATGTATTCGTACTATCGGGGGTGCTCCGCGCTACCCCTTTTTAATCGCTTTCTTTCACTATTTCTTTGTAGCGCTAATATCTTATTGTATTGGTTTTTTTTGTACTTCCTTACGCCCATTCATTCGGACTACACTTGCACACTTTGCAGACAGACTTGCACGCTTGCACACTTACAGACAGTAACACATGTTAGTAGCATGTAGATGTAGAATTAAGAATAAAATATAATTCCACATTCGCTGTCACCAAGCTTGTGTTTCCTTGACCGTGTTTTCGGCACCTAAGTATTGCCCGCCTAGCTCAATCGGATAGAGCGTCAGACTCTTATTTCTTGGCTGCATCTGAAGGCTGCGAGTTCGACCCTCGCGGTGGGCTATTTAAAGAACGACGTGGGGACCAGTATTTTCCATCTTTTCTTTATTTTATTTTATTTTATTTAACGATAGAGCTTGTGTATTCAGCTGTTCAAAATCCACAACAGCAGGGAACCCGGGGGATGCATGATCGTGTGCACGTGAGAGGGGCGCTTATTTACTGTTAAAGTTGTTCTACAAAGGTAGGTACTTTATTTTTCCCTTTCCCCTGTAGGTATTGCCCGCCTAGCTCAATCGGATAGAGCGTCAGACTCTTATCGAAGTCCCATAGTCGTATTACTTAGGCGGATCTGAAGGCTGCGAGTTCGACCCTCGCGGTGGGCTATCAGGCAGTCTCTCTGGATGTGTTATTTTTTCTTTATTTTTTATCTAACGATCGGATACTTGAAACGTGATTGCGTTTCATTTGTTACTATATAATGGTATCTTCAACTACTTTTTTCCTCCCTAACTATTGCCCGCCTAGCTCAATCGGATAAGGTATAAGGTATAAGGTGTACACGGCCCAGTCGGCATACCAACAGTGGTCCCGCAAGGGAAACAGCCGGTCCCTATGACAGCGCAAGCAGCGAGCTCGACTCCCGAGGAGAAGGTAGACTGCAAGTCCAGCGTAGGGATGGGTAGCAAGGCCCCAGAGCGGAAAAAGAGGCTAGCTAATGATAAAGTACAATGAAAACCTTTACTACTCCCATTATCCACTATCAGAATCCTCATCCTCTCCTTCTGAGCTGTAGTCAATGGAATGCCTGAGATAGCTGTAGTCCAAAGCTGTATGGCTTCGTGGATAAATTTTGCCGTGGAAGAGACATCCGACCAGGAAAAAATATGCTGTTTGAGATAAAGTAACGCATCCCCATCACTGAGCTGGCCATGTGGGATCGAAGTGAGTGGGGACAATGTAGCGATGGCACGGAAATGGACACGTAGGTGAACCAAAGGAGGAATTGCCGTGCATTGCAAGAGAACATGTTCGGGTGTATCAAACGGCACATGACATAAACGACACGAGAAATCGGTTGGTAACTGTCCAGCGGTAAGGGTACATTTGCCAGGTGTGGCGTGAAAAAGGCCGGGAGCCAAGGAACCACATAAGAGACGAGTGATGGAAAGCCGATGGCGAAAGTTTTTAACTTGTAAGAGGTAATGACAAAGATGTAATGGTAAAGCCAACGATGGACCCGTTTCCTGTGGTTCGAGCTGATCTTTCAGGAGGCGTAATTTGCTCATAGAATTAAGGTCGTTATTCAGATGGTGAAACATTGTATTAGAAATGTCAGTGATAATAGAGCAAATATGTGGAGGAGACAAGTCCCTCAGAGGAGGGAGGCGATCCTGAGAGCCTGGCAAATTGGAGATTGCCCAATCGACATCCATAAGCCAACACGGATGACTGTTAGAGCGTAAGTTATTGTTCGCTACTAAAGCGAGGGCAATGAGGCTATTGTCCGGTGCCGAAACGAGATAAGAAAGGAATTTGAGACAAAGTTCCAATCGGTGGGTCCGGAGAGGCAAAAGACCAAGTTCGGTGAAGAGAGGAGAGATGGTGGAGTGATGAGGAAGACCAAGGATGCGACGAAGACACCGCGTTTGAATGTCAAATAAAGGATTCATTACTGATGAATCCACGTCAACGCCGACGTCGCAGCCATGAGTGAAGTGGCAATCAATGAGAGAAAAGTAAAGGAGCCGAGCGACATGAGGAGGGATCCATGACCTGCCAACTAACCGTTCGCATCCAAAAACACTTCTGGCGGAAGCGACGGCGGCTTCAGACTTCTTTCTATAATGTGTTGCAAAGATGTCGCATGAAGAGGATTGTAGCCAGACACCGACGTAAGGCCAGGATTGTTTTAGTTGAAGAGGGCAGTTGGAGAGTGTGAGACGGGGAAGCGGGTTGGGCAAAGGACCAAAAATCATAAACACAGATTTTTTCACATCGAGTGAAAGGAAATTGTCGTCACACCAGGATTTGAGCTCGTGAAGGTGTCTTTGGAGGCCATGAGGTGTTCCTGAGATAATTGCAATGTCGTCTGCATGTTCCAAGTGAGAAATAGTAATTCCACAGAGATCAGCGTCATCTGGATCGGGAGTGAGGTGAAGAGATGAGAGAAATAAATTCCAGAGTGTTGGAGAAGCTGGATCGCCCATTAGGACGCCGCATAGGGCATGAAAGCACTTGAAAAGTTCGCCATTCTGGAGAATCGTATATGACATATGGTCATACAAAGTTCTGAGCCAATCAAAGTAGCAGCCAGTCAGTCCATAGTCATATAGTTTATTCCAGAGGCGATGTTGGTTTGTTGATGGAAACGCGTTTGAAATGTCGACAAAGGCAACATATAGAGTCTCACCTCTTGACCTCGTGTCATCTATTAGTGTCCGTAGGATGAACACGTTATTGTTTGTTCTGTGGTGTTCCCGGAAACCGTTCTGGGAGGGAGGAATGATGCCAGCCTGTTCGGCTGCATCGGAGAGCTTCATATGAATAATGAGTGTCAAGAGCTTCAAGATGCAGCTCTCAAGTCCTACAGCACGGTATTCACTTGGATTAGTGAAGTCGCGTCTACCTCGCTTGCGGATGGCTTCAATCAGTGTGGTCAGCCAAGCAGAAGGGACTTCACCGGCGTCGACACAGGCGTTAAGAAGATCGCATAGGATTTGGTTATCAAGGTCGAGTATCCAAGAATAAGAGGACCCATCAACCCCCGTGGCGCGCGAGGGCTTTGACCGCATGAGGTGAGCTTTGGCCTGCTCAATATCATGTAATGTGAGCCGTTCGTTGAGTGTCGGGAAGATGGAGGGCTTTGACACTTTAACGTGCTCGCACAAGTTGCACTCACGAGTCAGGCGATCTTGTAACGGCTGAGGGACGTTCTTAGGCGGGTTCATTCGTGGAATGAAGCACTCGGTGAGGTTCGACAAAGACACTAGAGTAGGAGCATTGCCTGGGTAGCGAAGGCGCTTGTAAAGTCTCCAGAATGCACCCGAATCGGAAGAGCATTCAATGAGGCGGTGCAGGATCCCATCCTGAAGATGTCGCTTGAATGACCTGTGTTGGTGGTTGCGGTGGAAGGAACGTTGGCGAGATAGGTGTGGTTTGCAGGGAGCTGGGTCTTCAGGGAGATCTGTATAGACCTTTGGATATCCTAGCGCGACCGTAAAAGGGATAGGAGCGGGCACATGGTAGTAGTCTGTAGGAGAAAAGGGGATGGGTAGGGGCAGTCCTGCGCCGTGTTTTGCCAAGGCATCTGCGGCATCGTTGTGTTTATTACCAGAGTGACCTTTAACATGATGGAAGCGGATAGGAGCTGAGCGTGCCGCAATCCAGCTTGCGATCAGTCTGAGAAGGTCACCGTTGACGCAAACCCATCCGCATTTAGCATTGCGGATAGACCAATGTACAAGGGAGTGTATCACGTACGTGGAGTCTGTGAAGATGTCCAGTACGCGATGTAGCGGGGTCTTTTGTACGGTCAGTAATATTGAGTAAAGTTCTGCCCGGTTGTTGGAAGGTCTTCCTGTCACCCGTGCAGTGGTGTTGAAGGGGTGAGCGGGGCCCGCGTAAATCCCTGCGCCCGCTGTAGCACCTAGTTGTCCATTATTGGTAGCCGACCCATCAGCGTAAACCTTCAGACCATGTGTTCCAGCATAAGCGGGGTCAAGGTTACTGAAACCGTATAGTTTCCCTAGTTCGTCACTGGCCTCGGGAGGGGAGGTATGTAGAACGTCGTCGAGAAGGTGGTCAAGGTGCGTTACCAATGGTAAAGTGAATTCGGGACGCTTCCGTTTCATAGATGGAGGAGGAGGGATGTAACGCCTCCTCCCCATCTTGCCTGATTCCCTTCCGGCCGCGCCCTATGGCGCGGCCTTAACTTTTGTCGCATCGCGACTCTTATCTTATCTTATCTTACGATTAGATATCATTTCTATTCCATTCATTTCGATTACTATAACTAGTCGAATTACATAAATTACTGTAGTTCTTCTACACTACGAGTACACAATCGCATAGCCTTTGTCGTGCTCTTTCGTGTGAACATAAGACTCTCGCCTAAGGGCGTTATACTTTTTTGAGCATCAAAAATCTTTATTAAAAGATTGTGTGCACAAAACTACGAGAAGTAATAACTACTTGACTAGAATTATAAAGTAATCTAAAAAAATTATCACCACTCTTACTCCGCATCAAAAGCGCCAAGCAAAATCAACAAAAGTTCGATCACATGGACCAAAATAGGAACTCAGAGAAGTCCCAACGAGATGCAAGCAATCGCCACTCACAACATGGTGATGCCACGTCACCAATAAATTCACACGACGGTAGTCATAGTTCACGACTACCACCGTATGCAGGACAAAGTCCTGAAATTGAGCCGTCTAACGACAGGCAGAATGTAAGTGATGTCGAAGACATCCGTGAGCGTGCGTCAAATACGACACACGATAAACTTTCTGAGTCTAATGAGTCTCAGGGAGCCTTTAGCAATAAAGGCTTCGCAGACATGAATGACCTCAAGGAGGCCATGCAAGAACTATCGCAGTTCTATGGACAAGGTGCGCAAGCACTAAACCGTATAGCTACCGCGGTAGAACGTTGGTCCGGACCATCCGGAATGAGTAAGTCCAGACCGTTACCAGATACTGGTAACCTTACGAGCATAGCAATGCCCGTAGCCCGACCGCCAGCAGTAACGCCAGCGGTATTACAGGCGGCATTACCGCCTGACAACGAACAAACAAGTCGTTGGGAAGGCATAAAGCCTACCACACATCCGTTCCGTCAAACGATGGGAATATATGAACCACCAGGTGCCCGAGATCGGAGACCTAAAGAATCTTTCAAGCCAATACATAACGTATGGCATACGGATTCATTCGATCCGATAGACCCACCTGAAGGTGAAGGTCTATTTGACAACCTTGAAACCGAGGTTGTAGAAGAAGGTGATCGCCAAAGCGATCCCTATAATAACTTTGGCAACTTTGTAACGATAAGGAAGAATCAAACTTCCCAAACGAACAAAACGCCAAATAAAGGAGTTCATGCAAATGAAAGCCCAGTCATCGACTTATCAAACTCGACAATGGGTAAATCAAATGAACCCCAGACGCTTCGTTACTCTCCAGTAATAAGGCAAAACATCTTCACAGGAAGAATGTCTCCGGCCCCAAGAGGACCGAGATCGTTACCTACTCCGCCTACAATTAGTATACGGAAAAATGACCCCATCCAACGGACAGAGTCAACAATAGTGGGACCATTGAGAAATGAGTCCCTTATCAAAGCTCACGAAGCATTCATTCAAGAATTGAATGAACATTAT